TCTTGCGCTTGACATCGGTGGTGACACATTACGCGTGCGTGTTGCTAGGTTTCGGGCTTGATCGAGGTCTGCTGCACACCGCAGCCCTATCTCGCTTCACACGCTGCGTGAGCTCGCAGTGGCATGGCTTGCATGGGCTTGCTCCATCACTGCGTCACTCTATCTCTCTCTCTCTCTTACTTTTTACACATTGTTAACGAGCCTTTGTCCCTGCTATAACCGGTTGGGCTCCGATTAGGCCCTGTTATAGCCGATAACTTTTAATAGAGACAAAGAGTAGAAAAAAACGGGGATTTTACCCTGTTATTACCGGATCCGTTATTACCGGGCCTGTTATATATGGTTTCCACTGTAAATCTTCGCCTTTGCTGAACTGAGCGTGTTGTCTGAGAAAGGACAGCAAGTGTGTTTACAAAAACAAACAGCGCCCAACGGCTGTTTGATCAATCAGTCATTTTTGCACACGATTCCCTAGATATGTTCTTCTTTTGTCGTCCAGCTCTCCTTTCGACCAATAACTGGTCAGACAGTAAAGAATAGGTTCTAAAATTCCTATATATTTCTGGGTCAACAACTAACTTTAGCAACAAACGGAAGGTATACCGTGTGAAAGCTTACTCAAAGCTCATTCTTACACTTTGATTCCTCACGATAGCAGCCATATTCGCTGAGCTACAAGGCATTTTATGAAGCACCCTCAATTTTTGTCCCTGTGGTCGACATTAAAATGGCCACGAAAAACACATTCCCGAGCATCTCAGTGACCCATTTAGATGGCTTACTTAAACTAAACAATATCTCGCTACGTGCTGTCCACAATAGTTGACCTGACAGTTTGAAACGGGGTGAAGATTAGTGTCATAGGAGACGAGTTATGGTTGATTCACAGCTGCCACTCGGGAATTTCAAAAAAAGGAGGTAATTCACATGCTCTCCGAAGGCCGGAGTAAAACCAGTGAGATCGAGAGGCAATATCTATGAACAAATATGTTTTTGGTAGGGAAAAGTGCCGTATTTGTTACCCATGCTGAATTTAAAAAGTATTTGAAAAAAAAAAATAATACACCAACAAGCATTTAACTTTAACAGTTTGGTGACTAAAAATCCAGTGTTCCGTCCATTTGTTTCTGCTTCTATTTGTAAATCTACAGCAAGTGACACACATACACTCCCTGCCTCTGTGTGCCCATCTGCTTCTTGCTGTCACCATCTACCTTTCTCCCCCACACACACTCTCCAGCTCGCTCTCTCTGTGTCAGTATCAGTTTGTCCATCTGTTCCCTCGCCCTCATTCAATTCTCTTTTTCAGTCTAGCACATTTTGTATAAAGGGAACGTGGATCTAAAATCATCTGCAAAAAATAGGCCTATTTTCTGTTATTTTCAGTCTATGGGCGCATCTTCAAATCCCTGCACATACTAGGAACATTTCCACTTGTCGCACTGCTGCAAGTTTGCAAATAAGGCAATCCCCCCCCCATATTTGTCTCTCTCCAAAAAGTGACTTCATAATACATCCCAGCTGTGCGAACAGTCAAAATTTTTCGTGTGTATGAGGGACTAAATGTGAAATTCCTGTAATAGTAAAAGGCTTCAAATCTCCATTTTGACATTACTAAGCTTGAAAGGGAATGTTCCCTCAAAGATCTCTTCAGTCAAATGCTTTTGGAAGACATGAGTTGAACTTGTGTAACAAATTATTTTATCAAGTACAGTCCATGCCGGCTTTAAGCACGGTCGTCGGGAGAAAGCTTAAGCGTGCTTGAGTGTGAAGTAGACATAATCCAGAGATTTTCATGCAGAAAATAAATTTCCTGTGCTATTTCCCTTTGTTTGTAAGTAGGCCTATAGCGGTTCCGCAAAAGTGTGCACTGTTATTTAGACACCCGCCATGGTAGTTTTTGTTCGCTTGTTTGTTTTTATTTTGTGGTCGAATGGGAAATGAAAACTTAATTTAGACGGCCAGTCACGATACAGCACACTAGGCCTACACTGCCTGTGCGTACCACTGCCCGCTGTGCCACTCATATCACCGCCTTCATCCCGCCTCGCGCGTGATACACAATCAGGATTAATGGATAGCAAGGGTCAAAGGTGAAATCGCAGCCAGCCTCCCTTTCTCGTCTCCCCTTGTCGTGTGTAGCTTTGCCCCAGGCCTAGGCTAGATTCTATGTCCGCGTGCGCGGCTGTGTGCATCTCTCTGCGCTTCTTCTCCACCCGCGTCAGTGTGTGTGTCCATCATTTGCGTTCTTTGTGTTTCTCTTGACACACTCCACTGCTGCGGTGCAGACTGTGTTCGAACTTTGATGGGTCATCATGAAAATATTGACTGTCTTGCAAATGAAGCGTGCTTACAGCCGAAGTTACCGTGCTTAAGTAGGTACCACAAACTGAAATTTCAAAGTCCTCTGATTTCACATTTAACTGCACTACCTTATGGATTTATCATTCTGAGCATTTTGATACTAAATTTATACATATAGCTTCATTTTTAATAAAGTTATGAACATCTGAAGTTACAGAAAAATGTTAGTTTTTCAATTGCGAAATGTCTACACTTTGAGATGTCACTACATTCTTAAATATGAATGGACATCAGGGTTGGTG